AGTTGATTTAATATGTATTTTATATATAATCTCCACTACTCATAAATTTCCGTGCCTGTACCAATAACGTGAGCGTTTTTTCAAAGCAGATTCTTTTCGATTTTCGGGTGGCGGTAGGGTGAGATGCTTCGCACGTATCTCACGTATCTGAAGGGCGCCCATCTCACCCTACCCGAAAATTGAAAAACGCTCAGGTCAGTGGGACAGGCGTGGAAATTTACGGGCAACGGTGCTAATATATACGAGCGGACGCCCACAAGGCTATACGCCCACCAGCAGCAAATCTCATCGCGGATTGAAACGGCTTGGTAGCACCTTTCAAGATTGAAATGGCTTGGTAGGTAAATTTATCTAAAGACTAGTTCATTAAACAATCGAGACAATGCCACTATAAATATAGGTCACATAGGCCTAACCGTTTATTATTTCAGTCTCAAACGCCACTTGATCGATATGAGGACCAGAAATACAATTCTGCAGAAATATGAATTCCACGTTCAGTGGTAAATTCGAAAACGTAGTCAAGATTGCAGCCTGTGTGATGAAAACGTGCTTTTCAATTTGCGAATATCAAGTCTCAAATGTCTTGTCGGACTGTGTCGGAGTGTCGGAGGATTCATCACACCGCATGTGGACAGAGCAATTAATCCAAAGAACCCCCATGGGACGAAGAGACGAACACAACGACTTTTAAGGTCATTGGAGGTCAAGGTCAAAGTCACGAACCTACTTAAGTTGTGACATTGCCCGTCCTCCACCATTTATTGAATCTAGTTATCAACTACAAGCGGTTGATGTGAATAAGACGACCAACACCACTGAAAATGGGTAATTTTACTGTGACCAAATTACTATGTGACAGTATTACTGTGACCAAATTACCGTGTGACTTTTTCACTGTGACCAAATTACCATGTGACCTTTTTACTGTGACCAAAATACCATGTGACCTTTTTACTGTGACCAAATTTCCGTGTGACCCTTTTACTGTTACCGAATTACCGTGTGACCTTATTACTGTGACCAAATTACTATGTGACCCTTTTACTGTGACCAAATTACCGTGTGACTTTTTTACTGTGACCAAATTACCGTGTGACCTTTTTTACTGTGACCAAATTACCGTGTGACCTTATTACTGTGACCAAATACCGTGTGACCTTTTTACTGTGACCAAATTTCCGGTGACCGATTTACCTGTGACCTAATTACCTACATTCATATGATAGGCACAATAAAAGAATTTGGAAAAAGATTTGGGGAAGAAACCAAGAAAAGGATTAAATAAATTAGTAGATAGTATTGACACAGGAGAAGTCAAAGTCAAACATAAGGGTAATGGAATATTTTTAAAAAATATACACACTGGAGAAGGAATATTTCTTTCAAAGTATAAAGGAGAAGGGGTGATTTTTTGAATAAAATAAAATAATAAAAAATGGGTAAAAAATTTAACCATTCAGAAATATTTCCTAATAACCCAATGCTCATGTGTATATGTGGTAGTTCCGGTTCTGGGAAAGCTTTAGAATATCTACCAAAGAAAGATGTTCAAGACCTATTTCAATATTTCGAAGAAAACGAAGAAGAAGTGGAAATAAAAGATATCATAGATAACTACATCGAAGGAAAGAATCTAACGGATATAAAAGTGTTTCTTAAAAAATGTTAATGATCTAGACTTGTCTAATATTGATAGCAAACGAAAGAACTTAATATTGTTTGACGACTGCGTTGCGCAAAGAAATCAAGCTGTTCAACAAGAATTCTTCACGAAGGGAAGACATCAGGAAAGGGAAGACTGTCGCTGCATATACCAATCTCAATCTTTTTACGGGATGGATTCTATGTTCATTAGAAAAAATGCAAATTGTTTTTTATTATTTGAATCAAACGATAAAGATTTTACCTTAGTAAAGAACTTATGAATTTGGTCGACAAAATAGAAACCTCATCTGGCTACAGAACAGAACAGTCTTTTATAGAATTAGATATTAGATTAAACGACTTCCTTCGTGGAAGAAGCTACTGGAAATTCAATAATTCACTACTAAAAGACAAAGTATGTGTTAGTCTTATTAAAGAATGTATGATTAAAGCATCTCAGGTCACTCGTTGTAATGCATAGAATACTTGTTGGGGCAGATAACTCTTTATGTACTGATTGCGTTCATTTTACAGAATATTAACAAACATAAAACGAAATGATATAAATATAAAGAACGAAATGTTGTTTAGTGTTGACTATATCTTACACTGCCGGGGTTGATTACCAAAGTAATGAAAGGTAATCAAAAACATATACTGTTCAAATAAAATGTTCAGATGCACAAAATAATTATGTTCACATTTTAACTGTCACTAGAAATTACTTCTAAAGGGATAAGATGCTGGTTAGGTCTACGCATATGGATTGGTTTCTTTGCATTTGCTGTTGACAAAACTAATAGCGGACCAGCAAAATCGATGCCAGTATTTGCAAATGGTGGTTCATCACTAACTCTACATTCAGGTAAGTCTGGCATTAAAGGTGGTGTGTAGGATTTTCCTTCGAACCGTTTGCAAACTACACATCTGCGTATGAATTTCTTAACTGCGGAACGCCCCTTTAAGATCCAATGTGTGGTACGAACTGCATTCAGAGTATCTTGAATGCCATTGTGATGCACTTGATTGTGTCTTTCTGATACTAATAGTTCTATAAAACGATGATTTGATTGATTTTTTGCGTTATAAGGAATGTTGGCATTGTTGATACGACCTCTGCTACGTATGACGTCATTTCCAAATATAATCCGAATTGTTTGATGTAGGTTGTCGTCTTGTTTCCATTATGTAGATTTTCAAACTCAGAGTTAAATGTTTTTCGTTGAATTGTCTTTATCCATTCAGTTTCAGCATTCTGATGCGCTGATAAGTTTATCTGTTGCAGCTGGATGGCGCAATAATGAGATGAACTTGATGACTAATGATGTAGCACGAAGAAGTTTCAGCTTGGAACTAAATCGATTAATGGTTAACTGTTGAAAGCGAAATAGTTATAGGTTTAGGGTTTTTCTTAAGCTCTTCTTCTGCTAAATCATTTTCAAACGTTGTTGGCAAATCCGGCCAATGTTCAGCTGATTGTTTCAAAAATGGAGGGCCTTCCCACCACTTTGGATTATGTAGTAATTCCTGAGCTTTACAAGATGGTATGTCGGCTGGGTTTTCAACGCCTGGACAAAATCTCTTATCCAACACAATGTTGTGAAAGAGTCAATCCATAAGACAGTAGGTAATTGCTGTATATCAGTTGTTGTACGATGTATGGATTGCTGAGTTGTGTGTACTAGACGGGCCAAGATATTAGCTCTTAAGTTCTAGTCTAGGTATGCATTGTTTTTTGAGTGGTGCTACCTTGGTCTTAGATGCGATTAAACGTATGTCTAAGTAGTGTATTATTGGTCGCACGGGGATTCCCCATTCCATTTCATTTCATGGGAAAAATGCGACCAATCTATAAGCTCCCAAAAAGACCTAAACTCCCTACATTTCATAAATTCTTACACCAAAAGACCTAAACTCCCTCCATTCCATCAATTCCCTCCCAAAAAAACCTAAACTCCCTACATTTCAGAAATTCTTACACTTAAAATACCTAAACTCCCTATAAATTCTTACACCTATACACCCTACATTTCTTATACTAAAAACACCTTCAATCAATTTCCTACATTCCATCAAAAAAGCATATTAAAAATACCCTTATATAAAAATAACATAACATTTTTAATAGCCTCGTTTTAAGTAATGTTATTATTAGTAGAAAGGAGATAACTCTTGTTTTGGAAAACAATTTTCTATCCTAATTTTAAACCTTAAAAATGGCAAATAAAATACTAGATCCAATCTTTAGATTATACGATCTGATTCGTTATTCGTTTAACAAGAAAAAAGAGGATTATATTATCATCTCACCGACTGTTGGTTCTAAATCCCAATTGAATGATGGTGGTAGAATTACCTTCGAAATAAATTCATTATCGAATTGGTTGCTTCTTTCCGATGCTTATTTCAGATGTGATTTCAAAATTAAAGAAGGAACTCAGAATCAAGTTCCACAAACTAATACAACGTTAGAAAACAATTTCTTTCAATCTTTATTTAGCGAGATGGTTTTGGAAGCTGGTTCAAATCCTATAGAAACAATCAAACACCCTGGGGAATTCGACACAATGCTGAAAACAGTTTTATATCCTAAAGATTTCGATTCAGTCTCAGGTTAGATACCCGATGTTGGCGATGGAAGTGTTTTAAAAGAACCGGTAAGAAATCTTGTAAATGATGCTGATTTAGCTAGATTTCGGGGAAGGGAGGGTTTGATTCTCCCAAATGTACAGGCCTAGGGTGGAGCAGACACTTTATTTAGAAATTAGGATTAAGGGTCTTGATATTGGGTTTTCTTCTGTTCTTATTCTGATCTGAAATTAGAAAAAATAACTCGCCCAATGGGCGAGAAGTATAGTATCTGTCATGTACTGATTGTTTTTAGTTTACTATGAAGAACCGGTAAGAAATCTTGTAAATGATGCTGATTTAGCTAGAGTGATGGTTAATGGCTGGTTTCAAGAACTTAGCAGATTCTCAAACGAATAACAATAATGTCTTCAGAGTGGCAATGAACCAAACTCAAGATCCTATAATCCATAAAGTTCAAGTAAGATTAAACAACGATAATTATCCTAACCAACCTTTAACAATTAATCCAACCACAAAGGATTATAATGAATTGTATAGAAACTATAAAAATATGTGTGAATTATTTGGAAATCCACCTCAGTTTGAATATGTAGATTGTGCATTAATCATCCAATCTTCTGTTTTGATCTATCAGCTCACCAAGAAGATCTTTTCAAAACAGGAGTCAACATAAATATTCATATCGAAAAAACACAAGGAGATGTAACAGGTTATTGTTTATTATTGGAAGAAGCAAAATATTTAATTAAAATAGCAGATAGAAGAATGATAAGAATTGAATAAAAAATAAACCCTTAAAAATGAAAGCAGAAACTTTAATTTTAACTTTCAATGGTAAAAAAATCAGCATAACTAAAAAACTTATTGATGAATACAAATATTGTAAAGTCAGAGACGATATAGATTTAGAAAGAATTGACGCGAACGCAAAAGAAGGTGGATTTTTACCTTTCCTTCTACCTTTAATAGTTGGTGGTATTGCAGCGGCGGGTGAAGCAACTGGAGGAATATCTGCCGCAGTTAAAGCTGCCAACGCAAAGAAAGCAACTGATGCTAAAGCCGCTGAAGAACGCAGACATAATTTAGCAATAGAAAAGGAAGCACGAGGTTCAGGAGTGGGAGATATGATAGGGGCGCGGTAATTAGTTCACAGGAAATTCGGTCACCGGAACTTTGGTCACAGTAAAAAGGTCACATGGTAATTTGGTCACAGTAATAAGGTCACACGGTAATTTGGTCACAGTAATAAGGTCACGTGGTAATTTGGTCACAGAAAAATTCA